TCAGCCCTTGAACATGTCTTTTAAATTTTATTTTATTTTAATTTTTATTTTTTTAGTTGTAGATGGATACGACACCTTTATTTCATTTATTTAAATCTATGTGTTGCTGAGGATCGAACCCAGTGCCTCACACGTGCCAGTTGAGCACTTGACCACTGAGCCACAACCCCAAACCGAACATGTATTTTTTTTAACATTTTTTTTTAGTTGTAGTTGGACACAATACCTTTATTTTATTTATTTATTTTTATGTGGTGCTGAGGATCGAACCCAGAGCCTCACACATGCTAGCCAAGCGCTCTACCGCTGAGCCACAACCCCAGCCCCTTGAACACGTAATTTTAAGTGTGGTCAGTGAAAGACCATATGCTGTTATGGTGTATAATAAATACACACAAGTGGGTGTGTTTGGGCCATTTTCCTTTCACTTTTGGAACTTCTGCTTGTGTGTCTTGGTCCTGGGGGGCTCTGGGTGGTATGTGGCTGGGTGCCCGCGCTAGGGGTCTAGATGCCTGGCTTTGACTCCACCTCTCATCCTGTAGCTCTCTCAGGCCTTTGTTGTGGAGCGGGGTGTCCACGTGTCAGGGGCTTCTCCCGAGAGCATCAGCAGTATCCTGTCAGAGGTGGCTGAGTATGGGACCTGCTACACACGCCTGAGCCACTTCTCCCTGCAGCCCGTGCTGGGCACCTCCTGCAGCAGGGGCCTTGTGTTTCAGGTATTGGCTTGAGGAGAACATTGTATTCTGGGTACTGTTTCCATGTTGGGAATGGAACCCAGGGCCCATCATGCTAGGCATCCTCCAGCTGCATTCTGGAAAAAATCTCAGGTCCTACTCCAAGATCACCGAGTCCAAACCTTCCCAGGAATGGGTGACTGGGGTGAGGTATCACTTATCCATTCTTCCACGGGAACCCTGGGGCAGATGAGTTTGGGCCAAAGGCTAGCCGGAGGTAGGTGTGGCCAGTGTTTGGGGGCTGGGGGCAACACCAGGTGCTGTGGGGCAAGCCAGACAGGTACCAGCAGCAACTAAGTGGGGCCTGAGTCACCTGTTCCCAGTGGTACAGCACCAGCGGCACTTCTCCTGTTTTGAGGAGTTGACATTCAAGGGGCTTGGGTCCTGAGCCAAGTCTGCTTCTGGGAGTTGCTGTTTTGCTGAAGGACTTGCATCCAGCTTAGGTCCTGGTAGAATCCCACCGGACCACAGGTGTGGCCTGAGCTGGGTGAGACAGGTGCACACAAGAGCTGGGTACTAGGAGAGATGAGGGGCAGGTGTCAGGAAGAGGTGGGGCAGGGCCCAGCCTGGGGGGACTGGGCCACGTGGCCCCTTCAAGCTCTGATGAGGGACAGATGATACACTGAGGCCAGCTTTCCGACTGTAGGCTGGGAGGCAGTGCACGGGAGCTGCATGGGGAAGTCCATCCAGGTAGGAGGGAGTGAGCATGGGACCCGAGGGGATGCAGGGCTTCAGGGTGTAGAGAATGGGTTATGGTGGACACCCAGGCCTCTGAGGGGCAGGAGGGGTGGCTATGGCTCCTGACCATCTGGCATGTGTGGACAAGACAGGGGGCTCCTGGGGTGGTGGTTCCAGGTTGTCCTGTCTGGGTGACTCAGGGCCACACTGCTGGGGCCTCAGAGCTGGCGACTGTGGTGGAGCCTGGCTGAGGCCAGGCATGTGATGGGCCGTCCTGTGCATTATCCCTGCTTCTAGCTGGGTTGAGCTGATAGGTGGCACTGCCTGGGAGGTGGGCACAGGATGGGTCTGGAAGCAGAGCCATGTGCTCTCCAAACCGGGTGGTGGCTCAGTCTGCGTGCAGACCTTCCTCCTCGCCTCCCCTGCAGGCCTTCACCAGCGGCTTGAGGCGGTACCTGCAGTACTACCGGGCCTGCGTCCTCGCCACCCCGCCCACACTCAGCCTCCTCACCATTGGCTTTCTCTTTAAGAAGTTGGGCCGGCAGCTCAGGTGAAGCTCTGCACATGCCTGGAGACTTGGGGGGTAGCATGGGACTTGCTGCAGGGAGCTAGTTGCTTGCTGTGCTAGGGAGCACAGTGAGCTCCCCCCAGCAAGGTCCAGAAGAGCAATCGCAGGAGGTAACCAAGTGTCCCTGGCCCACTGGTGCTAGGTGTCACTGGGTGCTGCCGTCCACCCACCACACCCACGTCCACCCTGCCTAGGTTTGGGGGTTCCCACCTAAATAGTACACGGGTCCATGGACGTGGCCTCTGGGACTCACAAGCCTGTTAGTAAAAAGCCAGGCAAGTGTCTGTGGCTAGTGCTATCTGAAGAAGAGGGGTGGAGGCCTCACCGAGAAAGACACCCTCCCGACAGCAGGGAGTGGGGTTGTGGGGGGAGGGCGGGGCCTGGTCCTTGGGGGCGTCAGGTGGAGCAGAGCAGCAGTTGGGCAGAGAGGGCGAAGGGCCTGTGGGGGTCTCGGCAGTCATCAGGCCCCAGGGGGTGGTGACCTGGGCCAGGCTGGGAGAAGGCAGGAGGGGGTCTTGGCAATCATAGGCGTGAACTGAGGGAATCGTGGGCTTGGGATGGAGTGGGGAGGTGGCTGCATCCAGGCATGGGTGTGTAGTGATGCGGGTGGACACATAGGCATAGGCTCCTGGACTGGTCTGGCAGAAAGCTCAGCTGTAGGTAGATGGGGTATGAGTGGTTTTTAAAGCCTGGGCAGGTCAGTCATTTAGAGGAGCCTAAGATGGGCAGGGATTTCACTCACCTAGTCTGACCCTGGCCTCAGGGACCTCAGCCCCGTCACCTGCTCTGGTATTAGCCTTGGGGATCCTGAGACTGTCACCTGGTCTAAGCCTAGCCTGGGAACCTGAGCCCTATCACCTGGTCTGATCTAGCCTCTGGGCCTAGGTACCTGGCTGAGCTTTGTGGTGTTGGCACTGTGCTCCCTGGGTCCAGCGGAGGAGAGCCCGGGGATGCATTCCCTACCGTGAGTTTGCCCCCTGGCTGATTGTGGGGGCCTGGTCAGCTCCGGGGGTGGGGGCTGGCTAGGGGCTCCTGGTGCTGCTGCCCACCTAGGCAGGGCTCCAGGCAGTGCTGCTGAGCCTGCCTCTGCTCCTTTGTGCAGGGGGTGAAGCTGCTGTCCTACCTCTACCAGGAAGCCCTGGACAACTGCAGCAATGAGCACTACCCTGTGCTGCTGTCCCTGCTGAAGACAAGCTGCGAGCCCTATACACGGTGGGTGTGCTGCGTGGCCGGTGGGCCTGGGCTTCTGGGGCAGGTAGGGCAGGGCTGTGTTCAGATCAAGTGGTGTTTGGGAGCTTTCTTGGCCACACGTGAGGCAGGAGGGTGAGTGGACTCAAGTGGGTGCACTAGGGAGGAGGCACACTCACCCCACGCCTACCCACCGCTGGCATTGCCTGTGCATGTTATGCCATGTCCACTCACCCCGGGCACCCCGATGCTATGGCAGGTTCATTCATGACTGGGTGTACAGCGGGGTCTTCAGAGACGTGTATGGGGAGTTCATGATCCAGGTGAACCACGAGTACCTTGGCTTCAGAGGTAGGTGGCCACAGCCTCTTGGGTTGGGCCTCCACATCTATGGGACAGGGACAGCACTGACTGCAGGCCACTCCGTGTTCTGTTCCACGTTTAGACAAGTTGTACTGGACCCATGGCTATGTGCTCATCTCCAAGGAGGTGGAGGAGTGTGTGCCTGTGTTCCTGAAGCACATTGCCCACGACGTGTACGTCTGTGGGAAGACCATCAACCTGTTGAAGCTCTGCTGTCCCCGGGTGAGCAGGGTCGGGGCACCTGGGGCAGGAGCTGTGGGGCCCAGTCCGTGCAGGGGTGTCGTGGGACCCTGCCGTTACTTCTGCAGGCACCCGTGGCCCTACACGTGGCGTCGCTCTGGATGGAGCCCCTGTGCAGCCGGGACTGAGGGAGGGTCCATCTGGGAGGTACCCTCACGTCTGAGAAGACCGGCTGCGTGTTGCCACTGAGGGCTGCTGTCTGGACATAGGAGAGAATTATTTCTGAGAAAGAGCATTTGGCTGTCCACACACATCCCTGGAAACCCAGAGGCAAAGCTGGTCCCCATGCCCTGTCCCACTGCGGGCCAGTGCTCACTGCAGCCCCCTTCTGGCAGCACTACCTCTGTTGGTCGGATGTCCCTGTGCCTCGCATTTCGGTGATTTTCTCCCTGGAGGAGTTGAAGGAGATAGAGAAGGACTGTGCTGTCTACGTTGGACGGATGGAGAGGGTTGCCCGCCACAGCTCCATCAGCAAGGAGGAGAAGGTGCTTCCCTTGGGCCTCAGGGGCTTCCTTTGCCCCTTATCCAGGGTGGCTGAGGGGCTAGGGGCTAGGGGCTAGACATGCACAATGGGGCAGCCCCTTCTGGTGTTCTCTGTGCCGGTGCTGTCTGGGGTGCGATAGTGGAACACATGTCCTGGAGTCAGGTGTCCAGGCAGGGGCCCTCCCTCTTCCTGGGTCTGGGTAGCCCAGCCTTCACTGGCCTTTGCTGATATAGGCAGCAGCAGCGGGGCTTCCCTGGGGCCCTGCGTTGTGGGTAGACGTCCTGGGCGAGCTCCAGGCGGCTGGGGGACTAGTGTGTCTGGCAGGGCCACGTTCCCAGTGTTCCCTGGGAGGGGCTGATGGTGGCCAATGCCATTTCCCAGAAACCCTCCTGGCCCATAGCATGGTGGGCAGCAGGGAGACCCATGCAGAGCCAACCCAGCAGGCCGAGCAGGGAAGCCCCTCTGAGTCGCGTGGTCCCCTCTAAGGGGGCATACAGCCTGGGTGTTGAGCCCAGGTGTCTCTGAGAGTGTGTCAACTTCTCAAAAGCTTGGAATACCTTGTTATTGATCTAAATCAGAGGTTCTTGACCTTGTTGGGTGGCCTTCTGGCCTCAGGTGGAGGGAGTATCATGCCTGCTGGCCCCAGATCTATGCAGGTGCAGGGGAGGCTGTGGATAACAGCAAAAGCTGGGTATTTCTGATGGCCAGCCCCTCTCCTAGGCCATCTCAGGAAAGGGACCAAAACTGAGGGTGCTTTGTTTATTGTCTTTGTAGGAACTACGTATGGAAATTGCAAAACAAGAATTAATTGTCCATGCCCGGGAAGCAGCCTCCAGGGTCCTGAGTGAGCTGAGCGGTAAGTTTGGCTCCAAATCCTCCCCTCTGTGGCCTGGGTCTTCTGTTGGGGCTCCTCATGACTTCCAACACAGACCGGCAGATGTCCGAGCAGATGGCCTTGGATGCCCGGAAGCGAGAGCAATTTCAGCGTCTAAAGGAGCAGTTTGTGAAGGACCAGGAGGTGGGTGGGCCCAGCCTGCAGGTCCTGGACCGGAAGGTGGGTGGGCCTAGCCCCCCTTGGTTCTGGCTGCTGAAGCCCCATTTAGCAAACAGGGCTGTTTGTTGGGTAGCGACGCCTGGCGGCCCGACAGGAAGAACTGGAAGATGACTTCAGCTATGCTCGTGAGGTCCGGGACCGAGAGAAGCGGCTGACAGCCCTGGAGGAAGAGCTGGACAGGAAGGCCAGGTGGGGCAGCCGCAGGCACAGGCACAGTGCAGGCTTAAATGCCAGTGATGGCTATTTAATCTCAAGGAGTGCAGGCACGCAGTGTGGTGGAGAGGCTGGTGCATTGAGCCATGCCCCTGCTTCGTGCTGGGGCCGCTGACAAGCTGGGTGCCCTCAGCTATCTAGAGTGCCCTTTTGCTGGTTGGCATGTCACATGGCATGATTGGTGTCTAGGCTCTTTGTCTATTTGTTTACCTTAAAATTATTTATTTTGGGGCTGGGACATAGCTCAGTTGGTAGAGTTCTTGCCTCGCATGCAAAGGCTCTGGGTTCAATCCACAGTACCACCAAAAAAAGAAAAAAGAAAGCTTAGTTTTACCTTTAAAAACTTTTCCCATTGTTCTGGGAATGAACCCAGGGCCTCACGAATGCTAGGCAAGTGCTCTACCACTGAGCTGTACCCCGCTGTCTGACTTTTAAACAGCTCCTATTTATCTTAGCCCTGTCACTGGCCCAAAGGGACAGCCCACATCCCATGTAGCTCCTGAAAGTCTGTCTCCTGCAGTACATTAGTTTGTCCCATGAACTGGGAGTTGAGTCTTCCAGTAGAAGACTTTCATCCCTCTGTGAGGGGTGGCCACTTCCCTGCGTTGTCACAGGACGCTTGCTGCGCCTGCTTCTGACACTGTCATGGACCTGGTGAGGGTGTGCCTCCTGTGTGTGCTGGGCTTGGGCTGTGTGGCTCTCCATGTGAGTAGCCTTCTGCTTACCCACACAGGGAACCAGGCAGAGGCCCCTTCCCCACCCTGTGGTGGTCAAACTAGGGCGAGCCAGTCCAGGTGTGGGTCCAGCTGCCTGCTTGTGGGAGGCTCAGAATCACTGGGTTTGTGTTGGGTCTGCTCTGTGTGCTATTTTGTGTCCGTCTTCAGTTCTCTGGGGTCTGAACTTGTAGAGCAGGAGAGTGCATCTCCCGTCAGGCTGGCCCTCAGCTCTGTGCTCAGTTCCTTACCTCAGGCCGTGTGGGTTCTCTGGGTATTGTTCAGAGACGTCTGTCTAGCCCTGACTGGCCATCTGCCGGCTAGGGGCCCCTACCAGACTAGCCCACCCAGGGAGCCCCAGGGGTTCTTGGGGGGAGATGGAGGATAGGGGCCCCAGGAACATGCCCATGGGAACATTCCTCCTTGCCTGGGGGTGCCCACAGACAGTGCAGTGACTGGTGACTGTGTCCACTCTGGGTATGGCTTCAGGCAGGCACTGGTGGACCACTATAGCAAGCTGTCTGCAGAGGCAGCTCGCCGGGAGCAGAGGGCACTGTGGAGAATCCAGAGGCACCGACTGGAAAGTGCACGGCTTCGTTTTTTCCTAGAAGATGAAAAGCGTGTCCAGGTATTGTAGTGACGTTAAGTAGCAGGTCTTTGAAGGGTGCCATGTGTGTCTGAGCTTCTGAAATGGCACAGGGCTTTTACCCCTCCTCAGCCTGCCACAGGCGCTGTGCTGTCTCTTGGTGCCAGATGCAGGGGGTGACCTGGCATCTGCTGATCCAGCATAAGCACCATCACCAGCATGTGTGGGCAGCAGGGCTGTGGCTTCCATGGGCCAGGGAGGCCCTGTGGAGAGTGTGCTGGGCTAGGTGCCAGCTCTGCTGGTCGGTGCACAGGTGCTGCTACCTGTGTCCCACTGGCTTAATTTCAGGAGATGCTGAAGAACGTGGCTGAGGCTTGCCAGCCCCAGGAGCTGCTGGGTCACCTCCCAGGTACCTGCTCCCAGGTAAGGACTAGAGCAGGACTGAGGGCCCCAGCCGGAGAGCTGAATGTGGGGAGTGGGGTTAGATGGCTCTGGGAGACCTGAGACCAGGCTAGGTCAATGCCCTGTTGCAGGTCACATCTCCAGGCCCTGAGCACCCAGACAGAGGTCCTACCTGTAATTCAGCACCCACAGAGCTGCACTTGGCTGCCTGGGATTGTCCAGGCAGGCCGAGTGTGCCCACTACGCAGGCCATTGAGTCTCCAGCAGTTGGGGCTGGTGGCTCGGGGACCAGGCTGGCAGAGGGGGCTGAGCCGTTCTCTGCTGGCCTCAGCATCACAGACTTCCTGCCCTTGGGTCCCAGCGCTGAGCAGCCTGTGCAGACCAACAGGGCCCTTCCCCTGGAGGAGGCGCTGCAGACCATCAGCTCAGACCTGCCTGCCGTTTCCCCTGGGGAGGCCCATGCCACAGCTAGTACACAGCCTGCCCAGCCACAGGAGTACGACTTCAGCACCGTCCTGAGGCCAGCTGCGGCCACCTCACCTTCCTCAGGTCCCCTCCAGGCTGTTGAGGGCAGCTTGGGCCCTGAGGAGCACGCGCCATGGGAGGGCACGCATGAGGGCACACAGATGGCTCTGTCCCCCCCACTCAGGCATGTCACCTCTGAGGAGGGAAGCAACCGGCCCACAGGGCAGCTCCATAGGCACGTGTCAGATGCCAGCATCAGGGTAGGGGAGAACATGCCAGACGTGGCTCCCTCCCGGCCACGGTGGAACGTCCACGGGCACGTGTCAGATGCCAGCATCAGGGTGGGGGAGAACATGCCAGACGTGGCTCCCTCCCGGCCACGGTGGAACGTCCACGGGCACGTGTCGGATGCCAGCATCAGGGTGGGGGAGAACAGACCAGAAGCTGAGCCCAACCCACCCTGGCCCCACCAGAGCCCCCCTAGCCACGTTTCTCAGGCAGGCTCAAGCCTGGAAGTACAGAACCCTGCCCTGGAACATGGGCCACAGCTACCTGCAGACACGGAGCCTTCCATCTGCTGTCCCAACGTGGGCAGCCTGCAGACCTTGCCCTCTGCTGCGTCCATGTCCAGCACTTTGGGAGACAGTGTCTCTGAGGAGCCAGGTCAGAGTGGAGCAGTTGGTGGTCAGGCTGGGGGCATTGGGGCCCACAAACTGGGGAGGGCACAGGAGTGTGGAAAGTTGCCCCCAGGTGCCAAGTCTGTTAACCAGGACCAAATCCGTTGTGGGGCATGTGTGGGGACTCCCTGGGCCACCCATGCTGTGTACCCTGGGCAGGTGCTCAGCTCTGATGTCCCTTCCCCTCATTTGTGTCCACTCAGGTGCAGGGAAGAATGGTGACAATGATGACCTCTCTCCAAGCTGGCCTCCAAACTCTGAGGTTGGAAGGACACAGCCTGGGGAGGGGAGCCTGCAGGGAGCCCCACGTGCCCTTTTCCAGCACAAACCCAAGGGGGCCTGGGAGCAGCTGCTGGGTGGGGTGCCCACCTTGAGTCTGGATTCTCAGGAAGGCACAGCTGCCCCGAGCAGCCCTGAGGCAGCAGCTGAGGTGGAGGCTCTGCGCTGGGGCAAGGAGCAGGCCTATGTGGCAGGCCTGGCCAGTCGGTACCGCCTGGAGCAGTACGCGGACAGCTACGCGTCCATGTGTGAGTCACTGTCCACCCGCGGTGAGGCAGGAGCCCCAGGCCGTGCGCCTCCGTGCTGCAGTGACACTGCCTTGTTCTCCGCAGCAGAGGCCCCCGCTGCGCACCTGGTACGCCACGTGCTTCCCCGGGCCTTCGCCTTCCCCGCGGACCCCCGGGTGCAGTCGGCTGTGGACGAGACCTCGGTGCAGCTGACGGAGCTGCTGACGCTGCCGGTGCTCATGCAGCGCTCCCTTACTGCCCCGCTGGCTGCCCAGTGAGTGTGCGCCCCTCCTCCACCCGCGCGCCACGGCCCCGCCCCTCGCCCCGCCCTGACCCCGCCCCTCGCCCTGCCCTGACCCCGCCCCTCGCCCCGCCCCGCCCCGCCCCAGCGTCTCCCTGGTGAACAAAGCTGCGGTGGACTACTTCTTTGCGGAGCTGCACCTGGAGGCGCACTTTGAGGCTTTGCGGCACTTCCTGCTGATGGAGGATGGGGAGTTTGCCCAGTCCCTGAGTGACCTGCTCTTTGAGAAGGTGACCCTGGATGTGGAGTTGGGGGGAATTGTGCCAGAGGGGAGCCCCACAATAGCGGGAGTTTGGTGCTGGCCCAGGGCCCACCCTGGCTGCCCTCCAGACACCACAGCCCCTGGCAGCTTGGAGCTTGGCTGCCTGGCTGTGGGACAGCCTGGGGATTGGTGATCAGGCAGGCACCAGCCCTGCCTAGGTGGCCTGGCTTGTACTTGGCCCTCCTGGGGACTCTGTCCCTTTCCTGCCTCAGCTCGGGGCTGGGCAGACACCCGGGGAACTGCTCAACCCCCTGGTCCTCAACTGCATCCTGAGCAAGGCCCTCCAGTACAGCCTCCATGGGGACACCCCACATGCCACCAACCTCTCCTTCGCCCTCAAGTACCTGCCTGAAGTGTTTGCTCCCAATGCCCCGGATGTGCTGAGCTGCCTGGAGCTCAGGTACAAGGTCAGCAGCACATGGTGGGCAGGCGTCACAGGGAGGCCTGTCCTGCGGGGCCAGCACTGACCAGGGCTTCCTGAGCAGGTCGACTGGCCCCTCAACATCGTCATCACCGAGAGCTGCCTGAGCAAGTACAGCGGCATCTTCTCCTTCCTGCTGCAGCTGAAGCTCATGACGTGGACGCTCAAGGACATCTGCTTCCACCTCAAGCGTACAGGTGAGGTCTTTCTGGAGCCACCTGCCCTGTGTGGGGCTGCAGGCTGTGCTCACCCTTTGTCCTCTGCCAGCCCTGGTGAGCCACGCAGCTGGCTCGGTGCAGTTCCGCCAGCTGCAGCTGTTCAAACACGAGATGCAGCACTTTGTGAAGGTCACCCAGGGCTACATCGCCAACCAGATCCTGCACGTCAGCTGGTGTGAGTTCAGGGCCCGGCTGGCCACAGTGGGCAACCTTGAGGAGATCCAGCGCGCCCATGCAGAGTACCTGCACAAGGCTGTCTTCAGGTGAGGCCCGGACACCCAAGGGAGGGACACTGCAAGGCCAGCAGCCTACCAGAAGCCCTGCCCTTCCCTAGGGGCCTGCTCACGGAGAAGGCAGCACCGGTCATGAACATCATCCATAGCATTTTCAGCCTGGTGCTGAAGTTCCGCAGCCAGCTCATCTCCCAGGCCTGGGGCCCAGCCAGTGGCCCCCGGGGTGCCGAGCACCCCAACTTTGCTCTCATGCAGCAGTCCTACAGTACCTTCAAGTACTACTCCCACTTCCTCTTCAAAGGTGAGCCTTCCCCTGGCCAGGCAGGGTGGGGGGCAGCCAGGCACAGGCAGGGCAGAAGCCTGAGCAGCCCGCTGCCTCCACAGTGGTGACCAAATTGGTGAACCGTGGCTACCAGCCCCACCTCGAGGACTTCTTGCTGCGCATCAACTTCAACAGCTACTACCAGGACTCCTGAGGAGCCCCTCCTGGGCAGGCACTGGGCAGGGAAGGAGGCAGAGCCACCATAGGCCTGAGGAAGCTGATTTTTATTTAGGGATCTGGCCCAGACCTTCTTTGAGGGTGAGGTGGACAGGGGGCTGCCACTGCTGCCCCAAGGCCTGGCCCCCTCTGCATCACCTGCAAGGAGGTGGAGCCCTTGTCCCCACACTCAGAGAGCTGGGCTCAGGCAGTGCTGCTGAGCTGGCTTCCAACAGAGACTGGTCAGGGTCTGACTGGAGGTCTCTGCCGTCATGGAGAGAGGCTCAGGGGCAGCCTGGCACGTCTCGGCAGCTCGGCAACACTGAGCGCCTCGGGAGAGGCCGAGGCACTACGAGGATCATGTCACACACAGCTCTGCTGCCCAGAGTGGGGGCTTGCAGCTGTAGGACTGTCCCCCAGGGGCTGCCTCCGCAGCCTCAGAGCCTCCAGCCACTTCCCCATCGCTGTGGTAAGGCGATTCCAGCAGCTTCAGCACCCGCCGTACCTGGAGGGAGAGTCCAGGTGAGGGATGCTGGCCAGCCCACCCTCCCAGGGACAGAGTGGGGACAGGGGCATGCTTGCCTCTGAGAAGTCCCCCTTCTCGGCGGCCTCGATGGCGCTCTGTGCGATGTAGTTCCTCAGGACGTACTTGGGGTTGTTGGCCTTCATCACACGCACTCGCTCCGCCTGCCAGGCAGCCACATCGCCGGCACCCTCCATGTCCCTCTCCAGCCGGACTCTGGAATCACAGCCCAGCTGCTCTTTCAGCAGGAGCAGCCACAGGGCGCCCATGCAGGATCATCTGCAACCACCTGAGCCGTGGCCGCGGCACAGAGCAGCGGGCACCCTGCAACCCTGCGTTCGGGGCTCACCGGTATTCCTGCAGCCAGTCAGCCCAGCGGCCCCTGTTCCTGCTCTGCAGCTCCTCGGGGCTCAGCTGTTCCAGCCGTGACTGCTGCTCCACTCGGTCCAGCTCCCTTGCCAGGTTCGCCTGGGTGCCAATGAGTGCGAAGAGCTGTGGGTTCGACTGCGCCAGCATGAGCATCATGGAGAGCTGCCTGGGGGAGGAGGCATGAGCCTGCAGCCAGGGCTGCTATCTTTTGCCCCAGGTGGGCACCAGCTGCAGGTCTGCTGTTGGGGTGTCAGCCCACATGCTAACAAAGCGTGTCCTCCTGGATAATCACCAACCCCAGAGCACAATGCCTGTCACTCCCCACTAAACTCCTTTCTGTGTGACCAGCCTGTGGTTCTTATTCAGAAGCCACGACCAGCACTGCCAGGGTCTCGTCCTGAGTCTGAGCAGCATTTTGCACATGGCATGCCCATTCTGTTGGGAAATGGCAGGAGGTGTGGTCCGCCTGGGATCTGAGTGCCGCAGGCTCTTGCCAGGTATACCACAGCTGTCCTGGATGCCCACTATCCCCATCCAACCTGTGCCCCACCCACATCCGTATCCCTGGGTTTTCCTCTGACCAACAGGCCCAAGTCACAGTTGGGACCTAACTGCCCCCATTCCCAGGAGGAGGCTTGTGTGGGTCCCCTAGGACTAGCTGTCTCCAGCAATCCCCAAGATCTTTGTTTCTGAATGCCCCTCCCCTTCTGAAAGCAAACCCCATGGTAGGAAGACCTGAGTACCCACCGGGGATCCATCTGGGGCCGGTAGGCAAGCCTCAGCTCCTCCAGGGAGGCGCACTGCGAGGTCAGGGTGGTCAGGAATTCAGCCAAGCCAGGTGACTGTGGCTCGAGCGGGAAGGAGCTCAGCAAGGAGAAGGTGTTTGTGAAGTCAGCACCTGTACACAAGCTGCTCAGGGGGAGGCTGGTAGACGCCAGCCCCACACTCCCTCGAGGCCAACCCATGTCCCCTCTCCGGTGTGTGCTGGGCCCTGACCCCTCAGCTACCACCCATCTGCTACCGTTTCCTGTGACTCTGTAGGTTGTCCCCGAAACAGATAACAACAGACACAGCTGTCCCTGCCTGCAATGGGAGCCATTGCCACCCTTGTGTGTCAAGGCTGGGCACAGGAACCATGGCATCCCCTAAGAAGGAAACTAAAGAAAACAAGGGACCAAAGCAGCATGCTGGGGTGGGGTGGGCAGGGAGGTCGTCAACAAGAGCAGTCATGGAGAAATGAGGGACAAAGTTTCAAGACATACAGAAAATAGAGCAGAACAGCCCAAGTGCTTCCCTTGGTAACTATGTCTGCACTCATGGATCCAGAGACAGGTGACCACATGCTGTCCATAGGGGCTCGCCTGAGACAAGATGAGACTCCTAAGCAATGTGACCCAAGGGGCTGAGGCCACTCTGAAGTCAGACAAAACAGGCCAGGCCCAAACCATTACAGAGACAGCACAGCCACCACATCAGGAAGACGTGGAAGTGACCAAGCACGTAGGTAGCGAAGCCGGAGGAGAAACAGCGGCTCCACAGCAGGTGCTGGCTTCTAAGAATATGGCACTCTCAGTAATGCGCAGACCATCTGGGCAAGAGCAGGGAATACCCTAGCTCTGAAGTGCACAGGGGCTTCTGCCGCGGGCACTGTCTAGGCCACAATGGGATGAAGCTAGATACCACTTGAGTGCTCTGTGTCCTGTTAGTTTCATTAACAGGAAGGAAAAGTGTGAATTATAGTTTTTGGTGGTACCAGAGATTGAACCCAGGGGTGCTCTACCATTAAGCTACATCCACAGACCTTTTTAAGATTATTTTTAATTCTGAGATTATCTTGCTAAGGTGCCCAGTCTGACCTGGAACTTGCCATCCTCCTGCCTCAGCCTCCCAGTGACTGAGATTTCAGATGTACACTGCCACATTCAGCTTAGACACCATACTCTTCATCTACCATAGGTTAAAAAAGAGATCACAAGCAAAATTATAAAGTCCTTAGAGCAACATGCAGCAAGAGCTGTGCTCAAGGGATGTGTACAACAGTAAATGTGTACATTTTAAACAATCTAAAATCAACTATATAAAAGCAAAACAAAACCAAAAAGGAGTAAAATAAGACCAAAATTAGCAAAAGCGAAAGAAATCTGGTTATAAGGATCAGAGGGGAAATGAACAGTGGGAAAAGTAAAAAAGACAATGAAAGTAGGAGGTGGTTCCTG